GACAGCGGCCCTCTAGCCCCGTGCACTGCCCTTGGTGCTCTGGTGCCTGCTGAGCATCTTATCCTTGCACAGGGGCTCACACGGTCTCAGCGTGCCCTCTGGGCATATCCTCTTTGGAAGCATATGGGCAGAAAGGCGAGGAGCGGCTCAGGACTTGTAAGCTGCCACCATCATGAGCGCAAGTATTCTAGCATATTAGAACAAAGGGTGGTGCAAATTAGCTTTTTACCTCCTGGCCCTTTCTGTACTACCTGTGGAGCATGATCCCCACCCTGGGGATCCCACAGAAACCACCCCCCCGAAGGGATTCAGCCAGCACGCTCCTGCTTCCAAGAGGAGCCGATGGCATCTGATCGGTTACTTTAAAAATGGACTCCAGATTCTTTTTAAATTAATTAATTTAAAAAAAATTAAAAAAAATTAATTAATTTATTTTTTGGACTGTAACTCTTTTTTTTATGAAGTCTTGGTAATTTTCCTTCCAAATAATTTTTCCATGTATACATTTACTTCTCCATACTTGCTCTTTGTTGTTGTTGTTTTAATCATTTTATTAGGGGCTCATACAACTCTTACTACAATCCATACAGACATCAATTGTGTAAAGCACATTTGTACATTCATTGCCCTCGTATTCTCAAAACATTTCCTCTCCACTGAAGCCCCCAGGATTAGGTCCTCATTTCCCCCTCCCTCCCCAATCTCCCCTCCCTCATGAGCCCTTGATAATTTATAAATTACTATTTTGTCATATCTTGCCCTGCCCGACGTCTCCCTTCACCCACTTTTCTTTGGTCCGTCCTTCGGGGAGGAGGTTATATGTAGATTTTTAAAATGCTTCCACGTTTTGCTTTGTTTTTTGCTTGTGCAAAGACTGTTTTACTCAGAGAAAGAATTTAAACGGAACTACATATCAAATAGCATAAAATGATTACCTCTGGTGTGGACAGGTGTGAGCTTGCACCCTGTAAGGAACAGGCATACTTATCCCTGGCTGTCCTGAGCCCATCAGAGACCCGTAGGACTCCTTTGGTTTGCTGGAATGCCATCTCCTTGGGCTGTAGGCATCAGGTGCTTCTGATGAGCTGAAAATGCCCGTCTCGCCGTAGGAAATGATGCATCTCCTTCCTGTTGTGTTAGGCCGGGGACTAGAGAAACAAATCCAGTGACATTCAGATACGGATAAGGAGCTTTATATCAAGAAGTAATTGTCTATCAGGAAGACATCCCGGCTCAGTCCATCTCAAGTCTGTAAGTTCCCTACTAATCTGTAAGTCCGATACCAGTCCACAAATCCCTCTTCTGACTCATGGAGCCACAAGCAATGACGTAAAGTGCAGGAACGTCAAAGGCCGGCGGGAAACACCTTGTGGATCCAGTGGCAGGGGACGCATCTCCTAGAGTCTGGCGGGTCTCCGAGTGGCTTGCTAGCAAGAAGGTGAAAGCAGAGAGGGGGCGCAGGATGCTCCAGAGATGCTCTTTGTCTCAGTGACCCCTCCACATGAGGTCATCCAACTGCGGCCTGACTGCCAGCTAAACGCCACCGTATCTTCTGACAGGGGTGGTGTTGGCACAAAAGACTCTTAGCTAT